TGCCAACTAATATGGGCCCATGCCATCCTGGTGGGCAAGGGCACGCCTTATATTCCTTCAGCTTTTCAATAACAGGGGAGCAGTAAAGCACCGGCATTTCCTGGGCAGCCATGGCTTGCCACTGCTCGAACTTCTCCCAGCTTATCGCTGAGAGGTCACTTCCCAGCTCTCCCTGCCCGCACTCACCGGGTGGAGCGTCGGTATCCCTTAGGACATTCCAACACTGAGGGGATCCTGTCTGTGACGCCAATTATTATGTCATGTCCCACCTACGAGAAGGGGAGAGTGACTAAGGTCTGCAAATCCCCTCGGTGTGGATTAAGGTGAGATAACACTCAAGGTCCATACATGAACATCAACTTTAATGGAACGAACACTCGTGTATTAATACGTCACATAAGCTAAGCGGCTTTATGAGAAGTTGAGGTAGGCCTTGTGTTACTTAGCAGCATCAAGGATAAAGAACAAGGAAGGGGGGGGAGGGGAGGGAGAGAGCTAGAGAGATCACCAATCCTGGATCCATCGTCGGACCTGCCAATGGGGGGTGTCAGTGTAGAGAGCGCCCCAGGAGGTTTGTATGTGCCCTTATTTATTGACCCCAGTCCAAAACTTCTGGAATTCTCTCACCCCAGTTCCAGGGGTGGTTGAGACATCAGTCAGTCAAGGGGAGTGACACTGGGCCCCTCCCCGTGGCTGGCTTCTGGAGCCTTCTCTCAGGGCATTGTCTGTGCTTACAGCACAGTCACTTGGGCTTGTCCCTTACACCACTATATTGTCAAATACTTTCTTAATTTTTCTTTTTTTTTTGCATTGCTACAGATTTATAACTGTAGATCACTCTTGCAAAGTAAACCTAGTCTTGGTGATATAAAACTTATGGCATTTCTTGATCCTGTTATAGATGTGGGGTTTTTTTTAAGTGACCATTAATTCTGCTTATTGTCATAGATACATGGCAGCTGGAATTAGTGATCATGTTTTGATGCCATGATTATATACTAAGATACTGATATACTGTATACTGATATAATAATTAGTATATGATTCACCTAAGATTGGCCTCTGAGCATATTATTACGTATTAGTGTGTATATGTGTGTGTATATATATATAAACACATTCAAATAGTTTATATTCTGTTTATATTCTATTGCTCTCTTTGCTTTTCTTTTCAGGTTTGTCAGGCTTTGTGACACTAAATGTTTCAAAACACCATCAGTAAAAAGCTACTTCAGGTCTTTTTTTTCATACATTTTCTGTGAATGTACTATGGCATTTGTGTACATACATATAGAGTAGAATAATTTTTCCCCTCCATTCCTTCTCAATCATTTTATTTTTATGCAATGTACTAATGGTTGGTTACTATGTGGGGACAGAAATTAACCAGTTCTTGCTTTTTTTCATGTATTTTTGTATTGCCTGTATAAAAGATGCAGAAGGGTGTAGAAGCTATATAGGAATAATGTGAACAGAGTGTTTGCTTTGTTTTAAGACCTATTTAGAAAAAAATAATAAAAAAAAAAATGCAGCCCTATACATCTTACTAAAGTAGTGAAGTTCATCAGAAGACATTAATTTGTTCATTGTTCAATTTTGATTGAATGTATTACATCCTAACATATGCTAAATTCCTCACTGCTTTTTAGGAAGGAGAAAAATGACACTAGATGTCTTTCCAGAATTAATGGTTGTCAGCACAACCTTTTCAGTTACCCTTGTTAACAATTTTGGAAAGCCAAAAAGTAAATGGGCAAGAAAATTGTTTTTTCCAGTATAAGTCTAATGAACACTGGCAGGTAAAAGGAGGAAACTTTTCCATATAGCTGTGTGTATCCTCTTTTTGACCATTTAACTTTTGTTATCTGAGGCTGTCAATACGTTCAAAACCACTAAACTCACACTTCACATCCCTGAAAAATTCAAGTGTCATTCATTATATCATTGCCAGCTATATAAATTCTTTCCTACAATAATTAGCTTGGATCTCTGTAAATGCTGCAAATCAGCACAGCTTTCAAATGTACAAATAGATTTAAAAGATTGTAAAAATTCATGTATATCCATTGGTTTCTGTTTA